CCCCATCACACTCAGTAAAGATTATAGTCATAGCATCAGATATTAAATAGCCTACAGAGCGTATATATGTATGTACTGATTACCAAAGTAGTATATAATGGCAAAATCTTAGTCTTAATAAGCATGTTACAAATAAGAACATAAATTAATCCTAAAATACCAATATACCAGTCAAAAGTACAAGTAGAGAAGTAAATGCTACTATTCAAATGAAAAATGACCCACATATTTCTGTTAGAAAAAAATCCATTAAAGCATCAAAAAATCTTAAATGACTCTGCTTAATTAAGTGAATACAGCCTATTTATAGAAAGTGTAGCTACTGCTTTACTGAGAGTGACTTCAGAGTCCTGGACCACAAGCAGACTGGTAAGAATTTGGTTGAACTGAGTCCAAACGAGTGAATGGCGGGAACAGGCAGAAGATGCACAGCATGTGTGCAGACAAGGTACAGGCAGAGAGCAGGAAAAGACTAGAGAAAAGACAAAGGGCAAGACAAATCAAATGAAAARGTTTCTTTTTTCATGAGAGGAAAACTAAGCAGATAAATGAGCTGAGAAGACAAATGCTGGATAAAGATAAATGGTCAATCCACAGGAAAGTTCTGCTCTACGGAGAAAATTTGAAGCTACAAACAAACAAATCCATGAGGAAATGCAAAGCCCCTTACATCCTAGATCACTTGACACTGGGACAACGTGAATATTTAGAGTAAAGAAGAAGAATCTTCCCTTGCTACTATTTCATGTTATGAGTCATGGGATCTACTATTACATTTAGGTTCTCATAAAGTATGACATAGGCTGGATAAGATGAATATATACGCAAAAGAGAAACAAGCCTTGAAAACGAACAGATAGTCAGTATAGGATATCTCACATTCTATTGCCTTATACACATCTGTATGCTGTATCATGTCCACCAGATTAAATTAGAGAGCAAGTCCCACAGCTGACATATCATGTTGCATTATTCATTATTCATTATTAGCAACAGAATGGAGTTTACTGGCCATCTATTGGCCATGCTTTGGAACCTGGTAGGGATATCAGAATAAACACGGACCAGGTCGAACACCAACAAAAATGCAAATAAAAATTTAGAAACCATGTGCAACCAGAACCTTTCTGCAGGTCATTTTTGGACAGAGCAGAATAATTAGCCATAGAGAAAGAAGCATTTAGGCTTATATTATCCTGAATGTCCTATAATGCACAAGGAAATCATAAAGCAACACTGTTTCCTTGACTTTTAATAAGAAAATTAGATATAAGAATACAAAATCAGCATCTGAGAATGACTAACAAGTCGATGTTTCTTCCCAAATCTCTTCATCCTCCTAATAATCAGTTACAGTATTTGCCCAGGTCAGTTTTCACCTAAGATCATAAACTTGCATAAAAGCAGACAAAGGAAGAAAGCTTTTATTTTCTCCTTACCATAGGATTCAAACTGTTTCTGAAAGATCTAGTCTAGGAAAATTTGCAATAACATTCTTGAATAGCTGATTAGAATACAACTTGGAAAGAAAYATATCTATCTCCAGGAATGACTCCTATGTTACCCAGCACTTGGACCACTTGCCAAGGGGCTATCGGCACTTGCAATTCATACAAAATGGGTTGTCTGTCATGAACTGCTAGACAATGCCTAAAAGAAACTATAGGTAGCATTTACGGCCAGCAAACCCAGAGTAAAGCCACATCCTCTAAATAAAAAGCTTTTCACAAAGACTTAAATAGAAATAAACCTTGACTTCATATCATGGTGACCATGGTGCCTGGACATCAGCATCATTTTTGTGTTCAGTCTTTCCTTAGGGAAGGGAATAAATAGCTTGAATTTCATCTACGTAACAGTAGCCCTAAACAATTTATGTACTGATAAACCAATGAAGCAAACTTTAGTTTAGTCCAAACTTTGGACTTCTTTGAGCTTTGGATCAGCGGGGTTGTGGGAAAGGAAGACACATGGTTGTGCCAAGACACAACTCAGAGCTCAATCCACCAGCTAACATTTTATTAGTCAGAAGTATCAGTGGAGGGTTGAATGCTTCACAGGACAAAAGCGGTATCCTCCACAAGCCCAATTCAAGCATATATACCAAGTTACAGGCATATATATCAAGTTACAAGCTTCCCAAAATGGGAGAAAATGGACGCAGCTCTAGAAATTGAGCTGTATCACATCCATGTTTGAGCAAAGGTGCTCATACCTCTCACCTCCTACATCTCACAATTTCTTCCTTCAGTCTGCCAAACTTATACAGGAACAAAATAGTTTGGCACTGTGGGTTAGATCTGTCAYGTAGACCATCACTTGAAGTGCTTGATCTAGTCTGGGAAGCCTAGAAGGGGAAGAGGAGAGCCTGCCATCCAGGAGAGATACTATCCACCACATAGAAGTAGTTTAATTGGCTTATACAGTGTAAGGTTTCCAATCTGAAGGAAGTATAGAATCACAGGATAGAGTACCCTGAACATTGTGATGCCAATGTTAGATAAGTCAGATAGTTAGATAAACTAGGTTGTCAGCCAGAGTCCCAGCAAATCCTGTGGAAATGCTGATTTGGGGCTTATTTGCAGAGCAAATTCCATTCTGCCCACAAAAAGTAGGTTTCCACAAAGTAAAAAGTCCTTTCTAGAGCTGCTTATATAATTTTCCCTTCCTCAAGAGAAGATTATTGGCAATTGCTTTCACAGCACTGAAATGGGTATACAACATGAATAATACATCACATCAGAAAGGCATTGGTATACATATTGACCTCTGCTATTTCCATCCTGATGTCTGTTGTAGGTTCAATTAACTGGAGGAAAATTAACATGGTAGACAGAAAGATGAAAGCAGAATAAAAGACAACACAGTGAAAACACAACAGTGGTTGCTAAAAGCATGGCATCACCTCTAAATTTAACTTGAAATAAAGAGAAATATTAGAGAAACACMTTTTCATAAGCAATGTCAATTGATGCTGAAAATGTCCTTTCTTGTAAAGCAATTATTAAATTATTTCCCACATTTACACATTAATTTTGTCATTATTTGTTCTCATCATACATATCAACTTCATTATWCTATCAGTTCAATAGAGATTATCTGTTAAAAATAAACTGTATATAAAAATTTRAAAGGTAAAAATAATTTTAAAAGGACCTCAAGCACTATATACTTGGTAGCTTCTGACAATCTGGAGAAAAAGAACTATTTTAACCTTTGAATCAGTCTTGCGATTTTGCAAAATGTTATATGGCTATTATAATCGGCAATGTGTTATTAGTACTAATTCWAAATTCATCTTAGAAGAAAATAAACCTTCTTTGCCTAAAGAAAAGAAATAATATTTTTCATGTGAATACAATATTCTTTTTATGATGAGAATTCACATTTCAAATCAAGCTTTTCAAAGATTCTCATTGGTCTTGGACAATCTACTTGTAGGAAGTTATAACCTTTAAAAATGACCAGTTGAAAACCCGTGATTTTGCTATTCAGTCACCTATGAAAATTAAATTCAAAATGCACTGCACTTGTGAGAATGGATTAACTAACAAGCCATCAACCATGGCCTAATTAAAATATAATACCTATCTCAAGACTCCATGATGTATTTTCTGAGTTCACATATCAGAGACAAATGTATGTTGTCCACTCTCCTCCTTTCCCTCTTATGTGTTGTTCAGAACAGTATGAATAAAATRAGAAATAGTAAAACAAAAAATTAAAAGTTGAATATGGTTATATTTTCTTTCAAATATAGTGGAGCAAGACAGAACTTCTCTTGCCCAGACATAATTCTTCTCATAAAAACTCTTGTTTACAGACATGCAAGAGAATGTTGCATTTTCTGTAAAATTCCATATAAGGAATTTTCATTTGCATAGCAATCACAATTCAGTTTGGGAGAAAAGGGATTGACGGAATCAATTTCCAGCACTACTCAAAGAAAGCTATCAGACTCTTCTTTCTGTCATTGTGTCATAATGCTGAGAAAAGACAAGCAGACCATCCAGAGAAGAAATGCTTCAATGAGCCTAGATSGTGTTCTTATGGTTAATATCAAATAGTAGCAAAAACAGTTAACCCAGCTCAACTATCATGCATTTTATTATATTTAGCAGAATGCCTTTAGTTAGCTTGAGTGTTAATATTGTACAGAGACAATCAATTAAAAGGACAAATCCTCATATGTGAAATTTGTAATTCCTTTATTCTATCTGCAGCAACAGCAATCTTAAATTTGTTCACTTTGCCCAAACAGCACATTCTGTATTTATCTAGTTTCCTTTCTCTGAAAAATTACTCTAAAAGTGTACTTCATTTGAGCCATTTGAGCACTGTACTTTA